CTAAATGCAATTATATATTTCTTATTATATTAATCGATGTATCTTGATATTCTTTACAAGAAAAGTATTAACATACTTATATTAAAAAATTATCAATTTAGGAGCTATTTTGATTTCATCCCTCTGCACTCCGCCCCTTTCGTGACCCTTTAAAACTAGCAACTTTGGCACATTTTTGAGCGGAGCGTCTGTGGAAAATTTTGATTGAAATATTAGGCGTACTGTTGAATGCATTTAATTTTTTTTATATACATAAATATAACCGATTTATATTAAAAAATCATTAGTTTAGGAGATACTGCAATTTTATTGCTGTTAGGAAATAGAGTTAAAATTAAAATATCTCCTAAACTAATAATTTTTTAATAAAAATAGGTTACTACCTTTCAGTAAAGAATGTCAAGATATAATAGAAAATATATGATTTCACTTTAAAAAACGACAATGTCCTTCAGATGCCCTCTACACGTACACATACAAGAAAGCTAGTACCATGTTAAAAATTTTTAGCTATGCGTAATAATAAAAACATGAACATACAAGGCAGTATTTAGTGAGCCACTCTGTATAATATAAAAAAGATATATGTAAAATAGGCTTTTCTTATACTGTAGTTCGTCTCAATTTGGCAATTCATTTTTTGAAAATTTTATATTATTATACTTAAAGAATCTGAAAAACAATAGCATGCAAAATATGCAAAGTGTAGAAAATTGTAAAATTTTCCATCAAAAACTGTAACAATATCCAAATAAGAGATTTCCTTGTTCATTTTTTAAAACTTTCTCCTTAACAACAATATAAATATCAAAGGAGATTGTTACCAAAAATAAGCAAGACTAAACAATGGAAGCCGAAACACTAGAATTAGTAACCACTAATGTGCACCTATAAATATATAGGACAAAAGTATAATAGAAATAAATAGTAATATATAAGCAGTACACGTAATTACATTTCTATCGATAAAAATTAATATTAATTTTACCATCAGCTACTACACGTTTTCAATAATTATAATAATAAAAGAGAGTCTAAAATGAGTTATTTTGACTCATTTTCTAGCTCTTTAAATTTTCGAACTTCATTTATTAACTCTTTGCACTCGAGAGGCGCTTTTGAGTCGCCATTTGATCAGATTCTAAAGATGGATATTAATTAATATATTAAATTTACAATTACCCAATGATGCGTGGAATATCGAAGTAAAATAATTCTACATCTTAATTTGTACACGATTTCTTATTTACGGTTTTAAAATAATCATCGACTTTATAATAAAAAGTCTTCGAATTATTATTTTCCTTTGACGAAAAAATCGTCGAGTGCAAAGGGTTAAGAAAAGAACCGAAGTTTCTAGAAAAATCTAAAAGTTGAGGGAAGTTCGTACCCCTTTTTCAATTTCAATAAGATATTATTTACATACAAAAGAGATATTGCGTCAATGTATTTTTTGATAAATGTATATTGTTGAGAAGTCAGTCTTTTTTTTTTAATTTTTTTGACGCAAGATACACTCATACACCCTATTTTAGTAAAAAGTTATAACCACTAGAGTGTTTCATAAAATTTGTATTTTAACCCTTGGCCTGAAATAAACTCAAGTTACTCTGTTTTCAGTGAAATACATTTAAAAATTAAAAACATTTTATTTCGAACAAATTATCTTCGATTAATTTGGAAAATATAAAAAAATAAATCTCCACGTTATAAACTTCATATATTATAAATTTCTACGCCTTCGTATCTTATACCATACATTTACATATTATTTGTACAATTTATGCAAATAATAGCTGCCTATAATAGCGTTCTTAAATTTAATACGTATTGTTGCATATTATTAAAATATTGTTACAATAATATTGTTAAAATATATTAAACTCATTAACAAAACGTACTTCAACAAAGTATAACAACAAAAACACTTGTTACAAACTTAATAAAAACTTAGTATTAAATTAATTAATTTCAATCTTATTTAAGAAAACAAAATATTTTTAGCATAATAAAAGAAATTTAAATTTAAATCATAATAAGAAACAAATTTGAATTTATTTAATAAATTATCACCTATATTTTTGTTTACAAGTCGTTTTACATTATTACTCCACTTTTGATCTTTTTTTCCATATTACTAGTAAAATAGTTTAACGTGATGATTAATTTCGTATTGTTTATATTCATAAAAATTGCAATAATGAAATTTATGTGTTATTTTAAATCTTTTGAAAATCATTAAAAATTTGTCTTATTATAATTATATTGTTTACTATTAATAAAATTTTATAACAATTTTTCACATTAACGTGAATATTATAACTTATAGAAACAATTTAACAGCCACGTAATTACATTGCAGGTTTATAGATTTCGACATGCAGTTCAAGAAAATATATCATTATAGCCGCAACTACTCAATAGTTTTTGAGATATTTACGATTAAAGTTTGATTACTCCTTTAACTACAGATTTATTTCCAAAAGTTTTCAAGTGGCGTTGTGGCCTAACAGCGACATCCAAAAATTCTTATACTGAAGATCCGGGGTTTCTATTCCCATTTATAGTTAGTAATTTTTTTTCAATCTATTTTTTATTTTGTATTCATTTTTCGCCTGTGAAAATATTGAAAATATACAATTGTAATGTAGCGACCATGATTTTCACCTTCGCCATTAGAGGGATTCCGACTTCGAGGACTTGCGAGAAAGTCCTCGGAAAAACCTCCAATTCCTATATATATCCCTTTCGGTACTATTGCCGCCCATTGGCGGCGGTCATGAAACGCTCCCTGTGTAAGTACTACTACCGCCAATTGGCGACGGTCATGAAACATTCTCTGAGTAATACCGTCGCCTGTTGACGGCATCCACGGAACGCTCTGTGGGTACTACCGTCGCCGCCTATCGGCGGCGTCCACGAAACATTTTAGAAACGGTTTTTAAACGCGTTAAATACCGCGTCAGTCACCGATGACTGTCGCGGTCCAAATGAAAAGTTTAATGCTAATCACGCTTTCGCGGCTTACGCTGCCATACAGTGCAACTACTCTTGTGGAAAACTTCCTCGTACCACGAATGGACTAACGAACCGCGACTAGCTCCTCCGTACCGAAAGGGACATATCTTCCCGACCTTCCAATAGTATCCCAGTCTAAGGCAGGGTCTGTTAGAAGAAAGCCTTACTGATGAGTCCACTAGCAGGCTCGGGATAAAACGCACCCCTTCCTTATCCTACCGTCCCTTCTAGCTACACTGCCAACGAGGATACCTGCGACGAGCCGATATCAACAACCATGGGGGAGGACTGCCACAGTAAATAGAATTTCTTAATAAAAAAATTTATTTCTCACGCTTTCTTATGCTAGTATATATTTATTATAAAATAATAAGAAGTAGTTCAAGAAGTAACAAGACTTTAATCGTAAACATCTCAAAAATGATGGAGTAGTTGCGGCTATAATGATATATTTTCTTGAACTGCATGACGAAATCTACAAACCTGCAAAATTTTAACTAAATCGATGACCCGAAGGACTTGCACTCTCTTAAGGACTTGTAAGTTGTAACGGTATGTAAAAATTTCGGAGGTACTTTTAAATATTTTACCACGAATATTATTTTCCAAGATAATTTTTTTCTAAATGCCACAATTTTTTTTTTTCTTTTTGTAAATAATATATTGCGTATTGTTATGCGTTTTAACCTCCATTGAGCTTTCAGAATTTATAATAAAATATAAAATTTACTTTTTTGGAGATGCCAAGTTTCCTTTAACATTCTTAACTGTATCCATAAATATAAATCACATTAACCCCTCAGGTACGATATGCGATTGCCTTTTTCTTCCTCTACGTCCAACGAAGCGTGGCTTCAGATATTTTAGCATAATCTATCAATGAATCAAATTTTTAGATATTTTTCATAAAAATATGCCTAATTTAAAAATTAAATCACTAAGAAAGCTAGAGTGTTCCATACCTCGATAATTTAACAATGATGTGATGAATCTTATAATATTAATATAGGTGTACAAATTTTAAAACACCATCCAAGAAAGTTACGATTAAAACAAAAATATACGATATTCTTTTATCACACTTTGAGTATACTACTTCGCAGTTTTGATTGCATTTCCTCACAAGGAATTTTTAAAATAAAATATTTGTCCGTAAATATCTGTCTCTTGTTTGATAGTCCTTTATTCTTTCTCTTTCACGAATACTAGCTAGTATTATTCGGAACAGTAAACTGTTAACAATCTCACACTGCTTATTGTGCTTACACACAATTATGGAATTTAATTACATTTAAAAAATATTTATATGACATACAGTAGTATGTATTTCGTTTATTGAACTTCAAAACATCATCTTACTCCTTGGTTAACACATACAAACCTGCAATTCTCGTTCTGTATATACTTGCACGAAGACCAGAAAAAAAAAGAAAATTAAAAAATGATGAGAGAAGAAAAGAAAACGTTCAAGAAGCTGATATGATAATGAACGAGGAACGAACAATATGTATTGTACGTGTTTCAATGGTTCTCATTTCCTCCTAGTATACTACGATATATATAATATTCATTGTACTCTCGTGATCTTGTCTCAATTTCATAATTCCTAGCGAAAACCACTAGAAACTAGCTTAGTTACCATAATCTATGTACTAAAGGAAACTACGAGTACCGTGTTTTGGTAACTACGAACCCACGACTTTTTCATTTCTTAAATCATATGCTAATATCAAATAAAAAAAAATCACACATAGTATTGTTACTAAACAAATACGACAAAAAAAAAAAATTGAACAAGCAAAGATTATTATGATTATTAAGGAGAAAAAGTATCGCTGTATAGCACTTATTATTGGAAATTGTTGTAAAAAATTCGAAATATTCGATCAATTTTAGAACATTTATCACAGATAAAACAAAATTTAGTCACATTTGTTTAAAGTTAGAGGATTAAGAACCACTGATACTGGAGAAAAACTTACCTTAGATAGGCCTCTGGGCTGATTCGTCACGACATTTGCCTCTGGGTTCTGGTCCCGCTACAATACAACAACAACGTAAACAAAACCGCTAATCTATCGTATTCTAAAAAAAAAGGCAGACGTAAAAAGTGCATGCTAGGCTAAATTAGAAAGATTTCACAAATTACTGATCGATGATGTATGGCGAATATGAAATTACTGATCAAGGAAATCGATTACGTCGAAATGGTGCACTGATTTGTCAAGAAATAAAGAAAAAGAAACATTTCTTGTTCTCGTAAATCTGTAAAAGCGGTATCAACGGAAAAGGAACAGAAACGTTATCATTCTTCGAAATTAAAATGGTGCAACATTTGTGAAACGCAGTAACAGAACGAATTTCTTCATTGCGGCAGAAGAATGAAACAATGCTTTCGATGTAATCAAACGTCTCGTATTTTTCAAGTTATAGTTGAAAACTGTTCTTTTAAAAATATACAACTAACTGTAATTATGCGTTTATAAGGTAACTTTGTATTTCACTCTATCTGGAAAAAAGATGTAAAAACAGTCGTTGAAAAATGTATCAGAGAAAAGTTGTTACCCATACACGTTAGTCAACAGAGTGCTCACAAGAATGAGTTGCCATTTGGCGAGCCTTCTTTTAAACATGGCTAATAAACATACTTGTCAAACATCAACAAACAATCGAGAATTTTCATTTTACTCAATTTTTCGTTTTGTACGAAGTAGTTTACAATTACGATTATTGGGGCTCAAAGTAATTAACAAAATATATTACAACTTCATTAGCAAATTTCATACGATCACGTAATTTTACAATTACCATAAAAATATACTTTATAAACCTTTTAAAATTCGTAAGAATAGATAAAAAAATATTCTTTTTAAATTAAATAGCGCTTGATTTAATATTAATTTAATATTAATTTTCATAATAATTTTGGATTCAAAATTTCTGTCCCACTTATTGCTTTTTCATAAGCTCGACTTCTCTCCGATATCTAGATTTAAAACTTTATCTTGGAAAATAAGATATTTTATAAAGTAATCCATATTGAGCGCAGTTCGATAATTATCTTTTACATTTTGTAACTCGTTACGAAGATTCGAAATTAAATTTTGTAAATTAACGACGATATTATAGTTGAAATATGATTCATAAATTCTATGAAATGAAAGTAAACTGTGACTCTAATTCTTAGTAAGAAAAATCGTTTTGATTTAGAAAATAAACGTAAACGTAAAAAGGAAAAAAATTTACATTACGATTTGTTATACACTAATTGTTCCTTCGTGGAACAAGACACTATTACGGTTTTCCAACAGCCAGGTCTTTAGGGTCAAACAATTCGGCATTGGAATTTTCCTGTCGCGGAACACAAGAATCCGTGAAAACCCTAATTTAGCGAAATTAGGCGACGGCTCTTAACCCATTTGCATCATGGCTCTACTCAAGGTGCCGTATTCAGGCATTAGCAACGTTCAACTGACGACTAACCTGTATGACCGCGCGTGTATCAACATCTACTCATAATGACAGTTAAAAGGATTCTCGCAACAAAAGTAAAACTTGTTAAGAATATAATGAACCGACGTAGCTGAGATTCCCCCCCAAAGGGATCAAACGTGATCTGTGGCATATGAAGAATATTCAGCAACTGGTAATGGAAAAAGTCAGTTCGCGGATTATTCCGCGCTCGGTGATAGGCGACAGTCTTGGCTCGCGGAATATTCCGCGTTCGGTGATAGACGACAGTCGTGACTCGCGGAATATTCCGCGCTCGGTGATAGACGACAGTCGTGGCTCGCGGAATATTCCGCGCTTGGATGCAAATGGGTTAAGACTTGGCTAACAATAGGCCCGAGGGCTCCACGTGGTCCGCACAGATCCGTTAGAATCCTCTGACCCTAGCTAGGGGCCATAAACGGCCGATGGGGTCACCAGCGCGCGAGTGGACCTTCCTTTCCTTCAAGGTGACCGATTTGCGGACCAAGAGAACGCCCTCGGTCAAATCAGCCAATAATATTTGGCGAGCTTCCAATTTTTCCTATTTTTCCGATTGCTCCTCGATTTTCCTACGATCGGGAAAATCGAGGAGCAAGTTCTCAACGAAACGCCAGAGAGACCAGTTCGAGCCTACCAATCGAGATCAGCAAGAGTTCAATTCCTCTCGTTGTTCAAGAGTCTATCGTTCGACTCCAGCAGAGACCTTCTTTTTGCTCGTGCAAACTGAAACAGTTGCTCAATATTAATTTGGCGGGCAACATTACGAGATCGCGAGACGGCCTTACAACCCGTCAGAATTTCCACAGAATTCATTCGCGAAGCGACGCGACATTTTTTGGTCCTTCTAACCGGATAGTGACCTGTGGACGCGACACTGGTATAACAAATAATAATATAAGAAAATAACTAGTAACCATTTTTAAATGTCAGATTATTTTATAAGTAATGTCGTTTTTATTTTCTTTTTATTTTATTTACAATGGAAGAATACGAACATTGTATAAGAAATATAACATGATCAAAAATGTCGCTCAAAGCATTCGTACACTACACAAAGAACATATTAGTGAAAAAGATATAGTTTACTATGTTTCCTGCTATTCAAAAAGATACGATAACAGGAATGTGCAAACTGTAGGAGATAGTAGATATCCTAGTAGAAAAATTATATATCGAAACGAAAATCTGAATAAATACTGACACTAAGAAATCGAATTTCGCGCTATGTCTCGGAATAAGATTATATAGAGTGAACGAAACTGGGAAATTCTGGGAGCGCGATTAGCAAGAACTGAAGATATTTTAAATAAATATCTTCATTAACGAAATGTTGCATTTATTGCATTATTCACATCTCATAGATACGTTAACCATTATTTCTATAACTCAATAGAGATAATAAAAAGTAAGATATTGCTATATCCATTTAATTTTTACGAATATAAAATTATTATTACGCATATAAAATTAATACGGATAATATATAACTGTTAAATAATATTTACGGATATCTAATAAATGCAAATAGGAAAGCATATAAGCATTATTAATTATCACGAAATAATTTCTTTTTTATTATCTTATGCTAATACTCTTTTGTACAGACTGACGTGTTATCCTGTATGTTCAATTTTCATCCTTCTAGCCATCAAAATGTATTGACTTTTTGACTAATATTGCCAAAGATGAATAACAAGAAATATACAGTAATGCAAAGAATCATGAGTGACATATAGGTATAGGTAACACCTGAGCTCGTGCAAAATTAGGGATCATGCAAAGGTTACCTATAAATTAGTCGAGGAGAAATACATATTCTTCAACGAAGGTTCTAGAATAGAACTATGACAACTAACGTCTACTGCTAACAAGTGAACATAATACATGCAATCTTGCTGGAATCACTGGTAAACCGCAAAGGAGTATTTTTCAAAAAAATTCGTTAAAATCTTCCCACCTGATGCCAATATATTACCATCGGCTTTTCGCATTGAAGAACTTTCTTAACTGGCTAAACCTTTACCGACAGGTAGTTTCATCTATATCCTAAACTTTATAACGTAAAATTTCACTTTGGATGAAATATATTATTATATTACATAAGAATAAGTATTACTACTTTTATGAGGGAAACCATCTTAAAAAACGACATTACTTATCGAATAATTTAATAATGACATAGTTATAAATTTCTTTAAACAATTTTTAAAAAATTTCGTATATTATACGTTGTGAGAAAAATGTTTAAATTTTAAATAGAAGCAATTTCTAGATATTTGAATTATTTTTAAAAATATAGAAGTATATTTCATAGAATAATCTCAGTTATTTAACATATATTATTATATTAAGAAACATTCAGTATAAACGTAAATTATGTGGAATAAAATGATATGTGATGTGATTTACACTGACGTGATTAAAAACTTTCACACAAACGTCAAGTAAATTTATATCATAAATTTACCTTCTTACTAATCAACCTTCTTCTCAACGAATCTTCTCAAATTAATATTCTACGCCATCTACATGATCTCTATTAGATTATCTCAAACTTTTAAAAAAGCCGAATACACCTAGAAGGCCAAAAAAATATACTTCACTTTGAGATCTTCTTCAAATAAATGTGATCGAAAAGTATCTTTAATCTACACGAGTGTACTTAAATCTAACAATAAAGTGAGCTTGATTTAAAAAATACTGAAAATAATGAAGAAATTTCGCGCCTTAATATTGCAACATTTAATTGAAGATAAATAACCAAATAATTTTTAAATCGAATATATTTCATAGTACAGATTAGATAATCATGAAGAATAAGCACACAAGGTATCGTGCAACGCAACCACCTGAAACAGGTTTATTACTTTCAGCGATGTGAGAAAATTATTAAAATGGAATGAAATTACGTATGGAAATATATTATAATTGACAAATTTAAATAAAGACCTTATTATTGCGATCAATGTCTTGTGCGTGCATACTGCTTAAAGATTCTTGATTATCTGTGTTTGAACAATCGACTAGTACTTATTGTACAGTCTATAAGGTTTCTGCTTCCTGTAAAACATGCATGAGTGGAGAGATTTTCGTTTCCTCGAGAAACATTTTAAATAGCCATGTCTAGAACACTAAGGTAAGAAAATATCTAACTGCTTGCAATAGTTATCCATTATGATTATTATAAATAGGTATTAATCTTTGACGAAGATTATTTGCTGAATAGATGCCTAATATGCAATAATTAATTTGCACAGTACAGGAAAATGTACTCCACAAAGATGCAAGAACGTGTAATACTAACTTTACATTTTCCGTTTTCCAATTTAGACTCTTTAGCCTTTAGACTCTCTAGAGAATCTAAAATATACATATACTAACACGGTGGAACAGATCATACCATTTCATCTTTTATCTCATGTTAACACTTTACCGATCGGTAGCCGATTAATCGACTTTTTGTCCCCAACGCTCACCGACCGGTGGTCGATTAACCCCTTGGCTACTGTGGACGCATATACGCGCTTAGAAATTTTGCTTTTGTGAC